TATAAACATCATGATAAAATTCTTTCTAATGGGATTTTTACCTACTGTGTACCCACTTTTACATATTTTCTGATTAAATTCATTCTGACTTCCATATAACCCCAAAATAGATGTCTCTGAAAACTTTTTCTTGTTTTTTTCCTCTGACTCAATCACAGCAGGATCTGAAAACTTTTTCATTCGATTTATATATTCACTTGTATTTATTTAGCTCCTTCTAGGTGACAAGCACTGTGGTATGTGCTGGAGATGCAACAGTATAAACAAGGCAGGCACTGCTCTGGCTTCATAGACTAGAACAAACTTCTGTAAAGAATCAAGAAGTTAATTTGTATGCTTTTTAGGCTGTGGGGTCTCTGTTGCAACTGAACACTGCTACTGTATCATAAAAGCATCTATAAGTAATACATAAATGAATGGGTGTGGATGTATTCAAATAAAACTTTACAAAAATAGGCAGATTTGGCCCACAGGAGTTTTCTAACCCCTGCTCTTTAGAGGAAGACTCAGAAAGATAAGCAAGTGATTAGTAACACATCATGTAATTACTCTAATTGAGAAAATACAGTGAGCTCTGGGAATATATTGCAGGGACACCTAAGCCAGATTGGGAGAGATCAAGGATGGCTTCCAGGAAGAATTGGCATCCCCAAAGCAACCTAATGGATGGGTAGGAATCAACCAAACATAATTTTCTGGTCCTCTTCCACTTACTGTATTTATGTTTTCCTTTAACTACATTTCTCAACAATGATTCTTCAGTCTGTAAATACTTGAGTCATTTGTTTGTCTTACTCTTTTTCATCAAAATAATTCAAGTCCTTTCCCCATTCTCCCACAAGTATATCAACTTTTTCCTTCAGCATGTCAATTTCTAGATTTTACTCAATCCATCAACAGTCCTGTAAAAATATGAGCAAAAATAAGCTGAACTTTAACATTTAAATTTCATGGTATGTAAATAATACTTCGAAAAGCTATTGGAAATAAATAAATAAAGCTAGCATCCTGACTCCCAGGAGTCCTCACAGAATGACTGAACTTTGATGAACCAGTAGAGAACAGGTTCTTGAGAAACACAGCTTTATCTCAATCCCCCAAAATACTAACAGAATGTGAACTCATAGCCAAAAATCTAAAGTACACACAATACCAAGGTATTATGAGAAAGAGCTTCAGAAATAACAAATAGAAAAGCCTGATCTGCAAAAACTTCAGGCATTTGAATAAGATATAAAAATATAATATATTTAATATTTTTACAGAAATAGAAGAGAAGATTGGGTGTATGAACAAGAAACAAAACCATATGAAAGACAAAGTAAATTTGAAAAAATAAACAATAGAACTTGTAAAAATGCATTAAGTGTATTAAGAAACATTAAACATAACTCAAAAAGAAGTAAAATATATATAAGTATAATTTGCCAATGTACAAATAAAAAATAAAGATTTTAAAAAATATTTTTTAAAAGAATTAGTTATTTGGAAGAGATAGATTAAGTAACAGATTAATGCTGCCAAAGAGAATTAGAGAACTGGAAGACAGTCCAAATAAATAATCATAAGAATTAATGCAGACATACAAGGAGCTAGAATATATGAACAAGATATAAAATATTCTCGAAATACATAATAAAGAGAATGTGGAAGAGGCACTATTTGACGAGCTCAAGATTGAGACTTTCCAGAATAAATGGGTGACTACAAAACTTCAATCATGAAATTAAAAGCCATTACCTAGCTAAGAACTCTTACTTGTACACGATATAGTACTTGACCAAGTTACAATGAGGGCATTTTCCACCGTTTTTAGAAGCAATCAGATTATGAAGGAACTATGGTATTTACATAATATTATACTACTTTGGCTTCAAAAGCAGATAATATTATGAAAAACATTCTGTACAGTTTGCATTTTCTTCATCCACCAAATTCATAAGTTTGTTTCCAAATTACTTTGCTGTTTTTAGTAAAAACTGAAACACACTGGACTCTGGGGTTTAGGTAATGTTGAAATCCCTGAAGGTCTTCAAAGTCTGATACAGTGTTAGACACAGCAGTAATTGTGTAAGAAAGGTTGTTGACTGACAATCATGATCAGGTTAGCAACAATGGGAGATAAGGAAGTTTATTGAAAGTGACATCTGAAAGAAACCAACTTAACGGTGTCTTTCCAGACCCTGAAATAAAATTGGATTTAGCAAATGTCATTCTAATACAGATGTCCCCCAACCATCTTACAGGAAAAGCTCAGGTTGTAGTAAGAATCATCTTAGCTAACATTTATGAATCATTTACTATTACCAGGCACTGTGCTAAGTGTGTAATAAGGAGAAGAAAATAGGAATAATTTTAAATCCTATTCAACAAACTGTCTTTAGCCCTACATGACTGAAAACAAGTTGCTTACATTGTCTAAATACATCAGTGAATCCTGTTCCTGGTATGCATCTTTTATATACCAAAAAGTCTCACAAGATAAATAAATAAGTAAATAAATAAAATTATTTTGGCCAGGTGCAGTGACTCACATCTGTAATCCCACCACTTTGGGAAGCTGAGGCAGGCAGATTATCTGAGGTCAGAAGTTTGAGACCAGTCTGGTCAATATGGCGTAACCCCATCTCTACCACAAATACAAAATTAGCCTGGCATGATGGTGGAAACCTGTAATCCCAGCTACTTGGGAATTGCTTGAACGTGGGAGGCAGAGGTTGCAATGAGCTGAGATCATGCCACTGCATTCCAGCCTAGGTGACAGAGTGAGACTCCATCTCCTATTTTTACTTTCACAGAGAAGAGTAAATGTCTCTCTCTCTCTCTCTCTGTACACACACACACACACACACACACACACACACACACACACACATTTTTTGAGACATTCTTGCTCTGTCACCCAGGCTGAAGTGCAGTGGCAGCATCATGGCCCACTGCAGCTCAACTTCCTGGGCTCAAGCAATCCTCCCACCTCAGCCTCCTGAGTAGCTGGGACTACAAGTGTGTGCCACCATGCCCAGCTAATTTCTTTTTAATTGTATGTAGAGAGATAAGGTCCTGCTATGTTGCCCAGGCTGGTCATGAACTCCTGGGCTCAGGCAATCCTCCTGCCTTGGCATGCCAAAGTGTTGGGATTACAGGCATAAGCCACTACACCCAGCTAGTAATTTTTAAAAAATAGACAAAACTGTTGGGGTTGTTGAAATCCTTTTTTTCTCAACACAAGAAGAACATATATACAACAAAATGAGGCCAGGTGCAGTCACTCATGTCTGTAATCCCAGCACTTTGGGAGGCCAAGGTGGACGGATTCCAAGGCCAAGATGAGTATACTCCAGCCTGGGTAATAAGAGTGAAACTTTGTCTCAATAATAATAATAATAATATCCATAGAGGAATGGGTAAGGAAAATATTTCTTCATTTAACCAATTTAGTCTGCTCCCTGCAGAAAAGTGTGAACCTGCCAAATACAGCAAGTCTTGGCCTTGTGGCAGTGAGTTTCAAAATATACGGTACACCAGCAACACCCATAAGCTTATTAAAAATATAGATTCCTGAGTCCAATTGGAAGAATCTGATGTAGCAGGTTTGCAATAAGGCCTAGAATTCTGCCTTTTTTGCAGGCACCACAGGTAATTGGGCAAGTGGTCCAGAGCCCTCCTCCCAAAACTCTGTCTTAGGAGAAACAGAGACACAAAACCTCCACTTTTCTATGAATCCTGAGAATTGTGAACAGTTCTAGTACAACCATACAGGTAATCTGATTTATAAGGGTTCAGTCTGGTCTGGATCCTCTGATCTGGAACTATTATAGTTATCATTGTGATTTTCAGAGAGACAGATTAGGGGCAGCATTATTTCTAGGCATGAGGTAAACTGCTATTGATTATAATAGCAATTTTAATAATTGATTCAAAAGTAGGCATTAAATAAATTATTTTCATATGTCTATATACTCCTTCCCTACTTTACAAAGAAATTGGTCTGACCTTTTTATAGTTGTTATGGTAGTGGGCCATTTTCTCTTGGTTTTCCACTTCAGGTTCAGCTTCAAGAATGAGAAAGCATAGTTTGGGCAAACAGATGTTTGTAACACTTTTTATTAACCTGAAGAGTGGGTGATCAATATGTTTACCTATTGCATAGCAGCTAAATGGACACCAAAGCCTCTTAAAGTAAAGCACACTGAGTGGCTAAAACCAGGGAGGTAGAGAGAATATGTAAACATCTTTGGTAAAATAGTTAAATTTACAGTTACTTTGTAGAAACCCTCTAAAGTACTGCTTAGCAACTGGTTCCTTAAGAAAGAAATTTATTATAAGTGTCAGATCCTAATTATTACTAAGACATAAGGTTTTATCATTTCTGTTTAACGTATGAACCACATGCATTTGCTCTCATTCATTGAGTCAATCAGGAGGGGAAGACATGAAATATGTTTAATTTAACATCTATTTATTAAAATGAAGTTCCCCTGCCCACTGAATTTTATACAACACAATGTTCACTCCAAAGAGTTAACTATATTTCCCTTTTTTTCTGCAGAACTTTCTGATGACTTTGCAAAGCAGTTAACAATTCAGCACAAAGGCATTGGAGTCACGCTGGCATGTTGTGACAGAATCGCACAATTACATGGGATCCATCCCATTCTGAAAATGCCCCGAACAGCGAACAGAACAGGTAAATGGAATCAAACTTCAGAACCAGCATAGCCTGAGAGCACCTTGACACTCAGATTCCACAATCTATGGAGAAAGTGTTCTGCTGTGGCATGAAATAAATGAAACAGAAAATGATGGCAAGACTTCTAAGAACATCTTTTGCTTTGCTCTTCCTTGGCCTCTTTGGGGTGCTGGGGACAGCAACAATTTCATGCAGAAATGAAGAAGGGAAAGCTGTGGACTGGTAGGTAAATTAAATGAAAGGATTGCTGCATGCAAACAGCCTCAGTATAGGAGTCAGCCTGGCTCACTGAGAAGTTCCTAAGGGGAATGTCCATTCTCTTTCCTCCCTTTACAAATAAAGGAAGTTAAAGTGTGCAAATGGGCCAAACTCCCAGGCAGGGGTAGGCTTCTGAGTGTGGGAGTTTCCCCTGAGAAAGAGCTGAGCAGCCCCTCTTGGGCCTGATTCACTCTTCTCAGCCGGGCAAGGGTGGTAGCCACAGAAATGGGATTGAGCTGACAGCTTCTGTCAGCTGGCAATTTCTTTTAATTACATCATGGCTTTTCCTAACAGAACACGTCCAACATCCTTTTAAAGACTGACAGAGTAGAGAAGGCAGATTACTTTTTTTGAAAATGGAGCATGCACTTCTCCTTTTGAGAAGGAGAAGGGCACCTGGTCACACGCAGCACTGTTTGCCTAACCTCGATTTGTTTGGCAGCACAGTCAGCTGTTGGCGTGAGTGGGAGGTAGGTCACTGGCCTGTTGAACAGTGTCAAAGACATTAAATACTGTGTTGCATTATAGTCATGGGTATTCCTAAAGCTTTAATCACTTTTTCACTCTTTAATTGGGATATTTAAGTTTGCCATCACGGTTGGTGTCAAGCTTTTTGTGTAAACTTCAGGCTAGAGAACACTGATATACTCAAGGCAAGTAGTCCGTCTTCCAGCAGTAACCGAGCTCTGTGTGAAGTTTCGAAAATAAAAATATGGACAAAATATGGTTCCTACTCTTGATGACCTCACAGTTATGTGGTAAGGGCATAAGTGGAACACTGGGGAGCAGAGAGCCTAGAAAGCTTCTCTGAGGACATAGTTTTTGAGCTAAGTTTTAAGAACAATTATGAAGTAGCTAGAAAAAGAATGGATATGCAAGGGTATCTCAGGCCAATGAATGAGAAGGTAAAGAGGCAAGAAGCAACATGGAAAGTTGGGAGTTGCTACTAGTTTGGTATGTCTGGAACTTCAGGAGAATACAGGAAGATGACCCGAGTTGGGGTTAGAGAAGTGGGGAGGGCAAGGGGGTCTGTGTGCTGAGCTACAAGGTTTGAACTTGACATTGAAAGGGAGCTACTGAAAGACTTCAAGCAGGGGTGTGAATGGTCAGATTTGCATTTTAGGAAGCCCACTGGCAGTATTGTGAGGCTTGGCTGGATGGGGAGCAGCCTAGATTCGCAGAGCCCAGGAGCATTTTCACAGAATTATAGGTGAGAAGAGGTGTGCACCTCAGTTAAAGAAGTGGTTGTGGGAATAGAAAGAAAGACATGCTGAGAAGACTTGGTGGTAGACGGGCTGCGGCAGGTAGGAGAAGGGGAGACGTTAAGAAATAATTTTAGGTTTCTGCTTCTTAGACTGCGTCAATATGTTCCCTAATAGTGTGGGATGAGCAGATTTGGAGCAAAATATTATAAACTTGGTTTCAAAAATATAGAGTTGGAGGTTTCTGGGACATCTTTGTGTTTCGGTTTCTCTGGACCTCAGCAGAGAGGTCTGAGCTAGAAACAGATTCATGACTCTTGAGTACATAATTAGAGGTGGTCACCCTGGAAAAATGTTTAAAAGTACTAGCTCTCAACTGGTGTGCCATGGCACACTGATAGTTCACAAACCCTTCACTGGTGTGTCACCAAATTGTGATTGATATGGTAAATCATTTTTGCCACAAGTGAATGGACATATTGCTTAGCAATGTCTGTTAAAGAGAATATAGGCACTTGTTGCCAAGCTGCTAAAATCTACTGAGAAAGGCAAGGAAAGAGACCATCAAGTCAGCACCAAAGAATAGTTTCATGTTTCTTGCCACATGTGAGGACCTGACCCTGTGAGTAAGAAAGCATAGCAGGGCAGGAAAGAGTTCACTTAAATAAAGTATAAGACCAAAGGGGACCAAGTGAAGTGTGCAGCTTTTACGGGCTTGTGACACTGTGGTATGGTAATAGTGTGTGTATTATAATGGTTGGTGCACTGTGAGTGTTTAGGAGTTAATGGTGGGGTTCATGCTATTAGAAAGCATTTGGCTAGATAGGTGGTTCTCAACCAAGGGTAATTTTGCCCTCAGAGGACTTTTGATAATGTCTGGAGATAACTTTGATTGTCACAACTTGGCAGTGCATCTGGCATCTAACAGGTAGAGGGCAGGGATCCTACAATGCACAGGAGAGCTCCCTCACAACAAAGAATGATCTGGCTGAAAATGTGAATAGAGCACATTGAGAAACCCTGAGCTAGGTAATCCAATAACGCCTTAATACTACCTTGGCGGAGCTACCTCTCCTCCCTGTGCGATAGCCAAGGGAGATAAACAAATAGTAAAGGAAGGAAAGTGCCTACTTAATTACTTGGTTTTGGCCCTGAATCACCAAGAAAGAGTTTTCTGATAAACTGAGCTGAAGAATGCAGCTTAGAACAGAGGCTCAAAGTACCTTCTACCTCTTCTGAAGCCCAAACCCAAATCTTATACCCAGTCAGCCAACTGCATGGTCTGAGTCTTGGCTTACTCCCCACTGTAGCCATATGGACCATGGAAGCAACAGAGAAAGCAACTCTCAATGTATATGGACTTCCAGTTCAGGGACTCCACCCACCAGGATAACCAAGGTCTTAGAATATAGCTAATCAGGTTTTTATTTTCTTCTCTGGAGAGGAGCAAAGATAAGGGTGAAGAGAGGGGCAGAGAACTTGAGCAAATCCCTTTCCTTAGAGGCCTTCCATGAAATGTGAGAGATATATTAAAGTGTGTAACATAGCTACTGCCACAGGAAAGCAGTCAATAAATGTTAGTAATTCATAATTATTTTGCCTGTTAGGTTTATCTTTTATAAGTTACCTAAAAGACAAAACAAGGAAAGTGAAGAGACTGGGTTAGAGTACCTGTACTTAGACTCTACAACTAGAAGCTGGAGGAAGAGTGAGCAACTAATGAATACCACCAAGAGTGTTTTGGGAAGGACATTACAACAGCTATATGAAGCATATGCCTCCAAGGTATGTTATTATTCAGTTGTTCACTTGAATAATATAAAATGCATAGAGCTGAATCCAAAGCCTTCAACAGAGTTTTTCTGTTCACCCATCCAACTCCCGCTCCTAGCACCTTGAAGTAAGCTAGCTCAGAACCAGCTCAAGACAATTATCTGAGTCAATCTAAGACCTTAAGAAACATGTCATTGTCGTCTACAGCAATGCCAAATTCACTTGGCATCATGTCCAGTGGTATCGCTGGGCAAGGTATGAACTAATTGTATATTGAAGTCTTCTGGCTGCCACAATGTCTGTCAGTTTGCTTATTCATCTAATAGAGATAGGGAGAGGAGCCTCTGCTACTACAGAGCAATACCGATCTGTGATTAACATGCCATGAGTTATGGGTTGTTTATGTTATGGTGCTGATCAGTGGTGGTGAGCTCAGTAAAGGGTTCTACTTGATACACCTTTTAAGTCATTGTTTTCAAAACGATATGTTGAAAACTAGGACTCTAGTTCAAGGCTCTAGAACTAACTTGCCTGGATTATCCCTGCTGTATCTGGACTTTATCAGGCAATGAGCTAGCCAGTCAAAGAGACACAGGTAAGTAGGCCTGCTGGCTTAATGTGGGCATGCTCCCAATATTCCAGGCACCATCTGTTGCTTAGTTTCAAGATGCTGCTTTCCAACCAGGGGTGACAAGTAAAATCAAGGCATGATTAACATCCAGATATACTCATGTAAGCATTTCCTAACAATAACTTATAGAGAACTGAATATATAACATGACTCTGTTCCTATAATATGCTGGACTGTACGCTGAGCCTTTACATATGTCAAGTAATTTAATGCCCACAACAACACTGTTTTAGCCTCTAGCATTACTACACATGTGTATCTGATTATTTACTCAAAATGTACAGGGAACTGTCATTGTGTGTGGTAATATTCATGTTATTTACCTGCCATTAAGACCAGACTTCAGAGCCAAGTTACAAAGTTAAAACTTATCTGTAGGCTGTTTGAGAACATGTGATATGCCAAGCACTTTTCCAGATGCTTTTTAAAATTGTATCAACAATCCTGCTTTGAATAAACAAATGACAGGTAACCCTTGAACCATGCTGGGGTTGGGGGACCAGCCCTCATGCAGTCAAAAATTTATGTGTAAGTTTTGACTTCCTGAAAATTTATCTACTAATAGCCTACTGTTTGTCTGGATGCCTTACTGATAACATCAATAGTTGATTAACATATATTTTGTGTGTTATATATCTTATATACTGTATTCTTACAATGAAGTAAGCTAGAGAAAGGAAAATGTTATAAAGAAAATTATTAAGGAAGAGAGAATATATTTACTCTTCACTAAGGGAAATGGATCATCATAAACGTCTTCATCCTTGTCATCTTCCTGTTAAGTTGGCTGAGGAGAAGGAAGAAAGGGAGGAGCTGGTCTTGCTGTCTCGGAGGGCAGAGACGGAAGAGGTGGGGAAAATAGAAGGGGAAGCAAGAAAGGCAGACACACTCAGTGTAAATTTCATATGCAAATACATAATGACTTTTCTCTATTTGCTTTTTAATTTCTCTAAAAATGCTGAGACTGCTAGGGGAGGAAGAAGGAAAGAGTGACATTGTAAAGCCTCTGTCATTACCTTAGTTGGAGTAGATAGCTCTTTGCTTGGTTGAATACAATAATGATCTTTGGAGGTGCAAAGGTAGCCCCACACCCTAGCAGGGAGATACAGTTAAACTTCTCTGCTAAACAAAAAAGAGATGGAAAGAAACCGTGAATTAAAAAGCACAATAAACATGGGGAGAGACTGGGGTAAGGCCTCATGGTGATGTAAAACCATTCAATATTTCTTATCTTTAGTAAAACTGGCTCACATGCAATGTCTTGAGTGATTGGTTCTGGGGGGGAAATGACAGTAAAGGGAGTGATTTCCATGCCTGATTGGCATCGAGCCAAAAGAAGAGAGCAACAGCAGTGGGTGATATCCAAGTGAGACTCAGTGTCCTTTAGAAGCTAGAATTATGTGCCACAACTGACTGTGAGAATATTACTCCTCCACCCCCTGACTGGAATTGAACTTCTCACAGAGAGTGAAATGCAAGATTAGACGAACTGGTTTTAAATTTCAAATGTCAAGGTGACCAAGTCCAATAGTTGGGTTACATTTAGAATTGTTTCCCTTCTCTTGCCTTTACAAATAAGAATCTTCCATGCACCTTCATAAACATTTATCAAACTATATTACCTATACTTGTCTCTCTATATTTTCTGCTAGACAGAGGGCAGAGACTGTACCACTCTTATTCTATACTCAATAGACAAAACAATGCCAAATGTGTTAAAGGAATAAAGCTATTCAAAGGCTCATGCCTACATCTACCTATTCTTAAGTCCATAGTCTTTTCCCTTTATCAATAGCCTCTCTTCTCACTAAGGCTACAACCCACTTAACCTCAACTGGCTGCTACATGCAGTTAGAATAATAAACTTCATTTATCATAAAGAATAAATTCCTCACTGGATCATCCCAGAATCCCTCCATGCTGTACCCCAAGGCACACAAATGTCCTCATTACCACATTCAATGCAGGTTCATAGAGTAACTAATGCTTCAGGGTTATCCAGAGGATGATATGAATGCCATTCAGTAGCTATGATCAATTATGATAAACGAAGGTAAGAAAACAGCTTACTTTTCAGGGTATTCCTAAACACAGTAGACGAGAATGCTACAACAGCCTATGTTGTGCATTTAACATTATTTTTGTATTGCGTCAAATAATTAAGCAACTGTGAGAGACTTCTTTATTGACTTTGTTTTCAAAGAAAAAAGCAAGGGCCTTTTTAAAGGAGATGTGTTATCCTTTCCTGCTTTTAATTATGTCACTGAGATTTTTTTTAATATCAACATTATTGGCTTCAATAAAAGCCACTGTATCATCACACAAATTAAATGGAACCATCCAGAACAAATATTAGCAAGCTTCTAAAACATGACAAATAGAGACTATTGAAATAATAGCTTTATTTTGGCTCTAAGATTTGGCTGTTTGAAAATTGACTCATATTTTGCCTCAACAGAGGAAATCCAATATCACACAGTAAATTTCACCACTTTTTAAAGCAGGGAAATATCAAGTTGGAAAGGTGAAGTGACACTGAAAAATGGATTGCAGAAAAATCCTCCCATAATGAGAGGAAGGGAGAGCAGATAATGAGGAATCCTGATTAAACACAAAGCTGCTACCCAGCAGTGAAGTGAAGCACAAAGTGGGCAGAGGAAATCAGATCCTGACAGCTGGTTCTGCACTGTGCCTATGATACCAACGGAAAAAACCTCAGATGCAATCCTTGGTTGGTTGTTCCTACTTCATTTCCTGAACAAATAATTCAGTACTCCTTTATTATACACTGGTTGCTTAATCAGAAACTTGGCTCCAAAACAACCAAGAGAAATAGGAACATTGCCCTCACACCCAGATCACAATGCATAGGGCTCCTGTCACATGAGTAAAAATCATGCATAGTTAAAAATGAACTTCCTTTCCCCTGTTTCACATGTCACAGGCTTCATATTGATGGGGAAGCTGCCTATTAGGGGAATAGATGACTTCTCAGTGTATTAATGAAAGCGATGTATTGCAGGCTGGGTAGCTGGTAGAAACGTTGTGAGAGTTTGTAAATGGAAGATTTACGCCATTATAACTAATATATTCCTGCAGAGTAACAACACAGCCTATCTAATATACAATGATGGAGTCCCTAAATCTGTGAATTACAGCAGGAAGTATGGACACACCAAAGGTATGACAGCGATTCTTGGTTTCTCTTTTCTATTGGAAATTAACATTTTTTAAAAACATTTCATCTTGAATATTCTTATATTCCATACTAAACAGATAGCTTTTCTTCTTAATAGTTTATTTGAGTCATTGAAATGTATAATTTCTGTATCACAGGTTATAATATAATTGTATAATTTGACTTGGCAACCCCATTTTTAGAAATCCCATTTTATTTCTTAACATATTTTAAAATATATGGTTTGCAGCAGGAATCCAGGTACTGATACTGAGGACACACAAACACCAGCAGTTTTATATATATATATGCACATACATATGTATATATGTATATGTGCATATAGCATATATGCATAAAAACATTTTAGTCAGAGTTATTGAGGTATAATTTATATAGAGTAAAATGAACCCTTCTTAATATATAGTTCCCTTGGAAATAAACATTTTTGAAAAACTGTTTTAAATAGTTATATATTAATTTTTATCATGTTATTTATATTACCAAATATAGTAATTTTGATTATACTTTTACAATTTTTCTACTTATAAACTTTGCATATGTGTTTGTACACTATAGGAAAATTCAAAATACAGGTAAACAAAAAAATCTATAATCCTAATACCAATTAGATAAACCATATTTAATCCTTTCCACTTTTTCTAAAATATGTATTTTAAAACATTTTTACAAAACTACTGTAATGACTATTTTTCAACCTTTTTCCAATTTAATATGTCATAAATAACTTGCCATGGCAACAAGTATTCAGAAGGTTCCAAATTCAAATGCCTTCAGGGAGCAGGCAGATGATGTCAGCAAGTGAAAGGAGGCACTTACTACTCAACTTGCCTGATAGGGACACAATTTTCCAGGAGATGTTGTAAATTAATATTTGTGGAAAACCTCCCCAGTTTTTAAATGTTGGCACTAAATTCAAAGTTTAAAAAACATTCTGCGAGCCTAATAAAATGTATTCATAGGCTGGATTTGGCTCAGGGGAAGCCAGTTTGCAGCCTCTGATTTAGAATATGGTTTGTAATGGCTGACAAAGGTCAGGAACATTGAAAACTTTTTATTTAGCAAAGTTGCTCTCCTGAATGCCATATTTACAGGGAACCCAACAATTTTCATAACATGCTACATTCTTCAACTTCTCCTCCAACAATCTCCCACACTATTTCTACTCTACCCTGCTAGCTGCCACAAGAGTTTGGGGGAATCGATGTAAAGGGAGGAGGGCGCAAGATCAAGTGGAAAGGTTCTCTTGGCCAACAGATGCCCTAATATCCTATGGCATTCGTACCAGGAGGATAGGATTCCAGCAAATTGGCACACTTTTCTGCGCAGAGGAGAACTCTTGAAGGTCATCCAGTTCTGTTACATAACAGAACTTTCAATATTTTCCACCTTGACACAGGTATTGATTCTATTTCCACCTGAAGAACAACAGTATGCTTTCTTAAAATATGCTCTTTGAAAAAAAAAAAACAACTAGAAGGAATTTAGTTTTTACTCTAACAATTAGGCAAACATGAGTGAATCTTATGTTTGCATAGTCATATGCAAACTGGAAAGTCTAGCTATCATACCAAACCTATCCTGATAAATTTATAAACACAGAAATAGTCATTGACATCTGTTTTACAGAGTTCTTTCTGCCATGTCACAAAATTATAAAAATCTTTCTATTTTCTTCCTTATTGGCTTTCATGTTATTTATTTTGCTCTAGGGAGTTTTACAAATGTTATTAACTTGGATGCTTTAGCATAGCTTCCTTTTTTTCTCTCTCTCTTTGCTTCTTTTACTGGGCTTGTAGAAATGGTGACTTCTTCTGCCAATAAATGGGCAGTAGTTTCTTCTAACAAATTATTGCAAGTACATTTCTTCATTTGATATTTTCTCTTTCAACTCTGTTTTTTAGTTGGCTTTTGAAAACAGCCTAGCTGCTTAGCAGTGAAGACACTATCTAAATCTTGCCAGGTGACTGTATTGTTTAACAAGGTCAAATTCCAGTTGAGCAAATTTGTATTCTGCCAAAACAAATTTTCCTTGTGATTTCGACATGAATTTCCTCTTAACTTTTCGTAGGATGGCTACCTTGGTTCCCTTTTTGTGACAGCTTTTTATCAGTAATCAGGCAATGTGATATGTGCCAGAATTGTAATTGAAATCTTTGAAAAATAAGCATGATCCTTGTGATTATTAACTTAATAAAACACCAGCCTGAAGCATAAATGGGCTTAAATGTTGCCACTTTGAATGCTATTTTAAAAGAAACTTTGTTTTTCTGATTTATCTTTGTTAAATGTATCTTTGGTAGGTTTACTGCTGTGGAACAGAGTCCAAGGGTTCTGGCTGATTCATTCTATTCCTCAGTTTCCTCCAATTCCGGAAGAAGGCTATGATTATCCACCCACAGGGAGACGAAATGGACAAAGTGGCATCTGCATAACTTTCAAGTACAACCAGTATAAGGCAATAGGTAAAACTAGAGTATGTGAGAAAAAAAAGAGATAACAATGTTGGAGAAAGCATTTGGAAATAATATTCATAAATGTGTCACTTCATTTGTTAATCTATTCATACTCTGATACCTAGATTCTCATGCTGGCTTTGCCATGGTGAGGTCTTGGGCAGGCTCACTTACTGGGCTTTGGCTCTTACTCTACCACTGCAGTTGTTGAACTTGATGAGGGCAGTAGTTTCAAATGTATCCAGGTGGCTGGTAGATGACATATATGAGTGAAACAGACAGATGTTATGTGAGAAGTGGGGACAGTGACAAACTACGGTGTTGATTCTCGTCTAGCTTCCCTCAAAGCCTCAGCTCCATCATGCTGTGGCTCTACAGGAATACAAGTCCAGTGATTATAGATCTCCATATTTCTCATGAAGTACCAGAAACCTAGGGTGTGTGTGAGAAAGAGAGAGAGAGAAGAAAACTGATTTCTAAATATGAGCTCAATCTTACTTTTTTTAAAGTTTTCCAGGCCACGTGTTCCTTGTAGGCTACCAACATGACACTTCTGAGCCAGATAATCTTCCTTTAAGATTTCAAGCTCAGCCAAAAATACTTAGATTTGGCAAACTGTGGTGGGAAAGAAGAAGTAGGAACAGGTTAGTAGCTAAATAGTAGTGAGAAGCAACTTGCCTATAGATACAGGAGGTTTAGAAAATGTTTTTTATCAAGTTCCATCTTACAGCAAGGATTACTGAGCTCCTCACCCAAGTCAAGCTCTAGTCTCACTAATTGAAATCATGTAATGATTAGAGAGCTGAATATCACAGAGATCAGGCATACACACTGAGGAGCTGGTTATTCTTGAAGCTGTTGCATTGCTACACGGAGTTCTCAACTTTTCTATTTGTATATGTACATTTAGAAGAAAAAATATATGGTCTACAAGGCTAGATTACCTGGGTTTGAATATCAATTTTATCAATTACAAACTTTATAATTTTGGGTATATGATGTAAATTTTCAGTTAGTTCATCTACAAAGTAAAGATAATTATAACAACAGAATTTACTTGATAATATGGTTGCTGTGAGGATTAAATGAGTAAACCCATGTAAAACTTGTAGAACCATGTCTGGAAACTAGGAAGTGCTTAACAGGTGTCAGTTATTTTAACCAAAAGTTATTTGAAGGCTATTGGTTTAAAGAAAGAAATGCCTTTGTTTTTGTGTTGTTTTGTTTTTTAATCCACAACAGGATCTATAATATCAGCAGGCATTTCCATTTGTGTCTTAATTTTCAACTTTTTTTTTTATTGTTTCTTGATTCAGATTCTCAGCTCTTGGTCTGCAACCCAAATGTCTATAGCTGTTTCATTCCGGCCACCTTTCACCAGGAGCTCATTCACATGCCCCAGCTATGTACCAGGGCCAGCTCATCAGAGAGTCCCAGCAGGCTCCTCACCACACTTCAGTCAGCCCAGGGACAAAAATTCCTCCATTTTGCAAAGTCTGATTCTTTTCTTGACGGTATGAAAGACCATCATCAAACAACAGGCTATATAACTCTGCTGTTGAACTCATTAGGGATAACTTAGAGAAATATTCTGAGTATTCAAGGAAAGAGAGATGAAAAAAGGAAGCAAAGAGGAAAGGAAAAAGGAAAGTCAAGGATGAGTTTCAACATTAGCCTGTTATACTTGAATAGCCAGGTTACTGAGCCAACCACAAAAGCGTCTCACAACCATCCAACCAAGGGCCAGTGAAAACTCACAGTCTCCAGCCTCTGCTTGGCATGAGGCCATAGCTATCTCCATTTCTTCCATTCTCTGAGCAGTTATTTTAAGCCTTCCTTACTCTCAAGCCCTTTATACTACTCTGCCCCCTCACTTATGGCTTCCTTTTCTCCTTCAGAAATAGAACAAAAATCATGTAGGGAGAAACCACTTCAATATGGCAACCCCATCTCTCCAACAGTCTTATCTGTTCTCCTTCCTTTTTGCAGGGTTTTCCCCCATCCCCAAAGAAGCGATGCACCCCCTGTGCTCTGAAACCTATCCCAGCCTCAGCATACCAGATCTGTTCTCCCAGTTCCATTTTAGCTTTCCCACTACCAGGCTCCTTCCTCATAGCATACAAACATGCCTAAAAACCCTCCCTCAACTCTAAAGCATCTCTAGCTCTATTTTTCCTTCTCTTTCAGATTTATTTTTTTAAAAACTCATCAGGGCCTTCACTTGCTCAGTGTTCCTTCACTGCCGTCTTACTTCTGTCCGTAGACACTGGAATCTCTCCCCAAGCACCAATGGCTGTCTTAGATGACCTCACTGTTTTCCTTGCTTATTTGCTTCCTTCCTTCATATATTGAATAAAATTTACTGAATGCCTACTATTAGCCAAGCCCTGTGTTAGGCACTAGAGATCTCAAACTTGAAAGGACAGAGATACTCTTTGCAGAATGTGGCACTGTTGAAATTCTTTCCTTTTTGAAACTCTCACCTTCACTGGTTTTAGGGAATACACAACCCCCAGTCTTCCTCCCACTTCTAAGTTTCTTCTGCCAGGTCTTCCTCTGACTACTCTTTAGGTGACTGAGTTGCCATGTGGCCCCCATCTTTCCTTATCTCATTCTACATGCCCATGCTGGGCAATTCCAGCAAGCCCTCCAATGATTCTTAAGTCTAGATCTCTACCCCAGACCTCTATACTGACTGAGTTATTTAACAGCAAGTGAGACACTTCTACTTGAAGGTGGTACAGCCACACAAAGTTCAACATGCCAAACTCACCTCATCATCATCCCCCACAAACCTACTTTTTCTTGTATTCTACATAGTCAACCATCTCTTCTTTTAGTATACATAGTCACTCTCCATCTCTTCTTTTTCTACACAGTCATTCTCCATCTCTTCTTTTTCTCACTCCTCTACCAAACCATCAAATTCAGTCAGTTCCAGATCCTTAATAACTCTCACATTTATTGTATCTTCTCCAAACTCTCCGCCACTGCCATGGGTCACACCTGTGTTTATTGACACAGTTATTGTGACAACCTTATGTTTTTCCTTTCTTGTTTCTAACCCATCCTTCCCAATTCATCCTTCCCATTGCCTCTCAACTGATACTTATGATCATAAGCCAGTTTCTATTAATTCTTTACTAACGTTTCTTTAAAAACTCTCCATTGATTTCAGGAAAATCCAAACATTTTGGCATGATTTACAAAGATCCCCAGAAACTGGCCCTGATTCCTTCTCTAGCCTAATTTTTTCCAAAGGTCTTTCCAGGACAAAGACCTATATTGCTTAATTTGTTTTATAGAACAGAAGATGTTTGCAAACACCAGCATCATCGTAGTAATGATGATTATAACTTTCATTTGCATATCACTTCAGCATTTACAAAATGTTTTCTCAACCACTATCTCAATTATGTTGTTATTGTTGTGCTTGTGACATACACATATCACGGGTGAATGATGATTTCCATTCCAGAATATATTTTCAGGGACTAATCTAAGTGTAAATACCAACCTCACTATCTTTCTTCTCCTAAACCCTAGACATCTTTGCAGCCTGGATGGCTCAACGGCTGAAGACACACTTGTTAACAGAAACCTGGCAGCGAAAAAGACAAGAGCTTCCTTCAAACTGCTCCTTTCCTTACCATGTCTACAATATCAAAGCAATTAAGTTATCACGACACTCTTATTTCAGTTCTTATCAGGATCATGCCAAGTGGTGTATTTCCCAAAAGGGCACCAAAAATCACTGGACATGTATTGGAGACCTAAATCGGAGTCCACACCAAGCCTTCAGAAGTGGAGGATTCATTTGCACCCAGAATTGGCATATTTACCAAGCATTTCAAGGATTAGTATTATATTATGAAAGCTGTGACTAAACTTGGTGAAAGGACGCATGCACTGTCACAGAAAACCTTGACAATGGGTCTTCTTCCATTAGTCCTTCATTATATTTTGAAAGCCTGTTTATATACTCATAACCTGCATATCACAAAATAGAACACTTTTCTCTCATGTTTACCATTTAATCTCTTATTTAATAGCAATTTATTTACTTTGCATTTATATACCATAAACATAAACCACTATACATAACTGAGAACAGAGGAAATAAAAGGAACAATATTTTTCCACATTAGTCAACTCCAATTATTTATTGATTGACTGTCCACCTAGTAGATTAAATTTCATCTCCTTCACAAAGACTTCCCTGATCTCTTCCCCACCCTTTTTTTGAAGGAAAACAAACAGCTCTTTCTGCATATTCTTGCATACTATTTGGCCATATTGCTCCTGAAGTTCTCTCTCACTGGTTTATGGTTAAGACTTATTTGTCATTCTTTCAGCTGCTACTTACTAATTGTATGATCTTGAACCATTCACTTGGATTCTCTGAACCTTGCTTTTGTTTCATCTATGAAAAGGAGATAACATCTAGGTATATCAAGCACCTAGCATAGAGCCAGGCACATAGACGACACTTAAAAATACTGGTGGAATTTGAGTTTGAATTCCAGCAAAAAAAAAAAAAAAAAAAAAAAAAAAAAAAAAAAAAAAAAAAAAAAAAAAAAAAAAAAAAAAAAAAAAGACAAAAGAACTTTCAGAAATAAGTAATATTTTTCAAGAAAAATGTTAAAATCACATTAGGAGAGAAAAAACTGCACAAGTGTAACTCATCAGCTTGAAGGAAGTAAAATGAAGTGTAACATAGTGAAACCAGAATCAAATGCAATAGGCTTTTTTATTTTTATTTATTTATTTTTTTAATAATAGAGATGAGGTCTTGCTTTGTTGCCCAGGCTGGTCTTGAACTCCTGGGCTCAAACAATCCTCCCACGTTGGCCTCCCAAAGTGCTGGGATTACAGGAATGAGCCACTGCACACAGGCAAATGCAATAATCTTAATTTCAATGTGTTTCTTTTTCTGGCATCCTTATCACTAAATGTAACTATCACATAAATGGATAATAATAAACTTGTGTTAAGTACTAGCTGCTTAATAACATTTGACATATGCATTGTTCACAATTTCAAGAAGCTTACAACCTAGAAAAAGTAATCACAATAATTAAAGCTAGCACTTACTGAACACTTACTATGTAATAAATATTCAACCCATATTAATTCAGAATTAATTACATTCTTATTTAATTTTCATAACAATTCTATGTAGTAGGAACTGTTATTATCCCCATTTTACTGACAAGGAAACTGAGGCCTACAGAGTTTTAGTGACTTGCCTAGTATCATAGAGGTCCATCTCACCTCTGAGGCTATCGATCTTGTTATCTCTATACCAATCAAAATTCATGGCACTAGTTCAATGACAAACAGAGGAAAAGCTAACTTGGTTTTCCTGTCAGACGCAAGCATAAACTACGTTGAATGTAATCTAGCTAACTCACATGACTGCAAACATAAGGAGGCCTGAAAAAAAATTATCTGGCCTCTGAGAGAGCATCTGAGGCCAAAAAAGTATAAGTAATCCCAATAATATAAGAGAAAAATTGTGAAGTACAAGATCCTGACTTTAAAAGTAGAGGGCCAAAATTTGATCCAATGGTAAAGAGAGAGATGAATGAAAAGGCAAAATAAAGCAAAAGTGAAGACACTCTGTTGGACTAAAAATACATAATAGGTAGAAGCCTTCTTCCTAAAAGGTACATTCAGACCCTTTAGAAAAGTGGCTTCATCCTAAGCTCAACAAAACAATTTGAAGAGGGGAGAATCGAAATTCGATTCATAAAATTAAGAGTGTAGGAAGGTAACAAAGAAAAAGAACAAGCTGGCCCACTGGAGACACACATTGCAGATGTGATTCCTGCTGAAGGGGCAATGGAAAGTGGCCACTCCTTCCTTGAGGCAGAAAAAAATGCTGGAAAGGAATTGAACAGTCCTAGTAGGTCAAGAATACCAAATACTTAACATGGGAGGGGTGTTGGTATGTCTTGGTGATGGTAACTCCTTGTTGTAGAGCCTAAAGCAACCACAATAAACCAAGGAGGGCTAATAGTGTTATCTTTCTCAGGCATATGCCCAGGACTGCTACCCAGTCATGCTGATACCTGCAGGGAGACTGAGGAAGTATCTTTGGGAATAATATCATTAAAGGAAAACTAATACATTTTAGAAAATAGGAGATAATTTTATTGATTCACTTTAGGAAAAAGAGGAAAATATGGGAGATATTAATAAATGAAATTTAAGATCTACATCATGATTTTAGATACTGAACTGAAATTAACCAGGTATGGTCATAAGCGCCTGTGGTCCTAGCTACGCAGGAGGCTGAGGTAGGAGGATCCCTTGAGCCCAGGTGGTTGAGGCTGCAGTGAGCTATGGTAACATCACTGGACTCCAGCCTAGGCAACAGAGCAAGACCCTGTCTCAAAACAAAAACAAAAACAACCCCCCTCCCCAACATTGGAATGACTTATTTCACTTAATGCAAGGTCCTCCAGGCTCATACATGTTGTTGCACATGACAGTATCTCATTCCTTTTTATAGCTAAATGGTATTCCACTGTGTATATATACCACATTTCTTTTTATCCATTCTTCATTGATGGGCATTTAGGTTGATTCTATATCTTAGTTGTTTTTGAATAGTACTGTAATAAACATGGGAGTACAGATGTCTATTTGATATTCTAATTTCATTTTCTTTGGATGTATACCTAGTAGTGGGATTGCTGAATCATATGGTAGATCTATTTTTAATTTTTTTAGGAACTTCCATACTGTTTTCCATAATGGCTGTACTGATTTACATTCCCACCCACAGCATATAAGGGTTTCCCTTTCTCCACATCCTCACCAGCATGCAATATCTTTTGCCTTTTTGATAGTAGCCATTCTAACTGGGGTAATATGATATCTCATTGTGGTTTTTATTTGCATTTTTCTGATGGTTAGCGACTGATATGGTTTGGCTGTGTCCCCACCCAAATCTTGAATTGTAGCTCCCATAATTCCCATGTGTTGTGGGAGGGGCCCAGTGGGAGGTAATAGAATCATGAGGGTGGGTCTTTTCTGTGCTGTTCTCATGACAGTGAATATGTCTCAAGAGATCTGATGGTTTCATAAATGGGAGCTCCCCTGCATACACTGTCTTGCCTGCTGCCATGTGAAACATCACTTTGCTCTTCCTTTGTCTTTCGCCATAATTCTGAGACCTCCCCAGCCACACGGAACTGTGATTCCATTAAACCTCTTTTTCTTTATAAATTACCCAGTCTCTGGTATGTCTTTACTAGTTGCACGAGAATAGACTAATTCAATGACGTTGAGCATTTTTTCATGTACCTGTTGCCCCTTTGTATGCCTTCTTTGGAGAAATGTCTACTCAAGTCTTTTGCCCATTTTTAAATCAGATTGTGCTTTTTACTAATGAGCTGAGTTCCTTACAAATTCTAGATATTAACCCCTTGTCAGGTGTATAATTCACAAATATTTTCCCCTATTCTACAGGCTGTCTGTTGACTTTATTGATTGTTTCCTTTGCTGTGAAGAAGCTTTTCAGTTTGATATAGTCCTATTTGTTTATCTTTGCTTTTGCTGCTCATGCTTTTGAGGTCTAGTGTAAAAACATTCTTGCCTAGACTGATGTAATGTAGTGTTTCTCCTGGATTTTCTTCTAGTGGTTTCATAGTTTTGGGTCTTACATTTAAATCTTTAATCTATTTTGAGTTGATTTTTGTATATGGTAAGAAATAGGGGCCAAATTTCATTCTTTTGCACGTTGATGTCCAGTTTTCCAAGTGAAATAAACTAGGCACATTAAGACACATACCACACAATCTCACCCATACATGGAATCTAAAATACTCGATCTCATAGAAATTGAGAGAAAAGTGGTTATCAGAGACTGGGGAGAATGTGGGGAATGGAGGAGATGGGAAGAGGTTGGTCAATGGGAAGAATGTTACAGTTAGGAGGAGTAAGTTCTGGTGTTCTATTTGTGGAGTAGAATGACTATAGCTAATAAAAATGCATTGTATATTTCAAATAGCTAGAAGATAGGACTTTGAATGCTCTCACAATAAAGAAATAAGAAATGTTTAAGGCAATGAATATGCTAATTACAATGATTTGATCATTACACAATGTATACATGTATCAAAACATCGCATTGTACCCCATGAATATATAAAATTATGTGTCAAATAAATAAATAATTTGATTATAGTCACACAAAAAATTGTAATGAAAAGTCTAAGATGAGAGAGTATCTTACAAAAATGTATAAGATTGTGTTTGGCTGGAAACTACTTAATGTGATTGTGGGGAAAGTAAAATAAAAACAAAAATAAACAGTAGAGGATGGCAGTTCTAATGTGGAAATGCCAAACCATTCCTACTCTGCCCTCACACTCTTCTTATAAAAACTATTTTCCACAGTCTGTTGGTATCCAATGACCCTTTTCTCTCTAGCTCCAAATCACTGGACTAAGAGTCGGCTGTGACACCAAAGAAAGTAAGTCATAGGCCAAGCCAAGGCAATCAGATATGGGAGAAAGTTTAAAGTAGAGGTACCAAGATTAAGTTCCGGGGCTTGGACCCTTGATCTGAAGGTCATGTATATTGGACATAAGATTGTTGTTTTCTGCCATGTGCACACCAAAGCAGAAAATGTGGGGCTGCAGAAGCTGGAGAATGGGTGCAGACATACTGCCAAGAAGCACAGAAGAACAGACAGAATGAAATCAATTCCCAACTATCCAGATGTCAGTTGAGTTCCTTACAGAGCTAAGCTAGTCTCCTTGGTTATATAGTGTATGACATACCCATAGAGTCTTGCATTAAATGCCCCAATTTTGAGCTTAAGTTAGTCTGAGAATGTTCCTGTTTTCTGCAAGGAAACAATTCTTGTCTAAGTCATGTAGAAACAAGAATTATATTGTGATTGCAGTTCCAATAATCATTTCAATTGAAATAATCATTAAGACATAGGTCATAAACAATTCTCACAGTCTCACAATGTCACACGTTTTACAGACTAATACAGAACATGAGTTATTAAAGAAGTAAACTTTTACAGACTAACACAGAACATGAGTTATAAAAGAAGTAAAATAGCATAGGATGAAGAATATGCTTTCACAGGAAGCAACAGGAAGAACCTGGTGGGAGTGAATAAGGAAGAGCAATGATGTGGCTTCAAGTATTTAGACATTTACTAAGGATTTCATTCAGCTAGTATAATTCTTGTTTAACTTTTGGCTTCACTGACAATGTCATCTTCCAAAGAGATAAAATGACTAGAGGAACCTAAGTCTTACAATTTAGTCCACTCTGAACCTAAATCTTACAAACAAGGAGGGGTTTGTTAGTGAAATGAAAATAAGGGGATGGGCACAGTGGCTCATACCTATAATCCCAACACTTTGGGAGGCTGAGGCAGATGGATCACTTGAGCCCGGAGGTCAAGACCAGCCTGGGCAACATGGCAAAGCCCATGTTTACAAAAAACAAACAAACAAAACAAAAATTAGCCAGGCATGGTGGTGTGTGCCTCTGGTCCCAGCTACTACAGGGGCTGAGGTGGGAGGATTACCTGACCCCTGGGAGGTGAGCAAGGCTAGAGT